CTTGGTTGAAACCTATAGATCAAGATGCTTCCACAAGGCAGGTTTATGCTGAGAGGTCTCCAAATGTGAGGGGGGCAGCCCCCCAGAGCAGTGCCAGGTGCCTCCCCAAAGGCCATCGCATGTCCCCAGGGCTGAGCTCCACCGTGGGCACCCCAGCACAGCCTCGGGGCAGCTGGGGAGCAATGGGGAGCTCCAGCCCCACCACCACATCCCACCGCCGTGATGCCAGTGGGGAGGGAGACAGCGAGCCCGTGGCCAACAAGGGACCAAAGCCCCTGACCCCTGCGAGCTGCTGCTCCCCACCAAGCCGTTGGTTGCTGAATCCACCCCATCCCGCTCCCCTCAGGGGTATAAGCCATATCTGTGTCCTTGACAGTGGGCAAGAGCTTCTCTGGGCACCTCTCCCACTGTGGGACAAGCCAGGACCAAGCTCCTGAGCTGGAAAGCCAATGTCGTTCCCGGCAGCAGGGAGAGGCTCCAGCAGCCCTGCCCAGTTCAGCCCAGTCTGTACTGGAGCGCCAACGGGAGCTGGTGTCCCCGTCCCAGCTCCGACTCCCCAGCAGCCTCGTGCTCCCTGCTCCGCTTTGCTTTCCTGGACTCGGTTTTGCGGGGTTTTGGCACAGTTAAGCAGCGAAGGGCGTTGCATCTTCAGTGAGGGGAGCTTGCAGTGGAGAAGCAGAGCTCTGGGGTGCAGTTGGGGATGCCCCGGGCATCGGGGATGCTGCTCTGGTGGTCCAATACCTGGGCCGGGACCTCGGTGCAGGACATCCCGAGCCCAGGGACAAAGTGCCAAAACTGAGTTCGCCCCAGTGCCGTCGGATGCTTCAGCAGCTCCCTGCGGCCCCTGCTTCCCAAAGGGCATCTCAGCCCTGGCTGGAAGTGGGGAGGCGATGGGAAACTTGGTGGCAGCCACAGTTCAGGGGGTTCAGGTTGGACACGGGGATGAGCCCTATCACCCCTGGGAACAGGTCCCCAAGGAGGGACGTCTCTGTCCTTGGGGGAGGTTCGGGGCTCGGTTAGCCGAGCCACGGTATGGTGGTGGGGGAGGTTGGACCAGAGACCTCCAAAGACCACTTCCACCACCACCTCGGCTGTGCTTGGCCCATGCCCCAGGGCCCAGTACGGCTGCTGGAGCTGCAGCTCGGCCGGGCTGGGTGAAGGTGGTACCGGGGCCATGCTGGGCTGCAGGGGCTTCACGGGTCATCAAGCAAGTGGTCCCGCAGGGCCATCTGCAGCTTTAATTAGTCCCTTTTCCTAACGGATGTGTCAGTGTCAGCAAACGAGGTCCTGTCCTGCTCGTGTAGCCAAAGGGAAAAGAAATCTCGGGGTGCTTTTTATTAATGGGGAGCTGGGGGTGGCTGATGCCCCTCGGTTGGGGGCAGCGGCAGGATTCGGTCTCCTGAATCAGTCTCGTTTCGGAGTCCGCCCGGGCACCGGGGGGGCGTTTGCCTTATGTGGAAATGGGTTAAAAAAGAAGGAATTGGAAAGAGCATTAAAATCCTCCCGTTGGCGGCCTGTGAGCATGCACGGCCCTGCAGCTTTCCTTGGGAAGCAGGCGGAGGTGTGCACGCACGCCCGTACACATCCACATGCGCACACCCACATGTGCACACCCCCATGCACACC